CTTCAAAATTTAGTCTTTCGTACTAGACAAAGTAGGAGGTTGTGTTGATATGACTGAGCTGCAAATGAACAAATAGTCCTTGATTTTCCTAGCAGAGAACAACATGAAAACGTGAACCAGCTCACCCAGCTGTACAATCAACACAGTGTGAGTTGATGAGGGAGGCATGACACAATTGGGAGGTGAGATGTCCGGCCGGGCTTATCCAGTAGACGGAACGTACGACCGAAACAGTGCACCTTTCGTGAGAAATCCGCCTCTCAAAATCACAAACAACGACCAAATTCTCCGTTGAATTGAACACTAGTCAAGGACAGTCAGTGAATGCTTATGGTAGTCGAATCATCCAAAGCAAGCATACAGTAAGATTTGGCGCGACAAAGGACCAGAGTGAATGGTCCCTCAAAAGTAATTTACATTCACTATAATACCCAACACTGTGTTGCTTCTAGAACCTAAGGAAGGTGCATACCTCTGCCGGGAAGGTAATAACTTGCATGCAGTGAAAGCCCTGGATTTTGCCCTCCGTTCTTCGGTTTGCATCATTAATTCATTTGGAAGAACCTTGAAAGCATTCTAGTATCACATATGTAGCAAAAGTGCAATTCCGAAATAAAGAGGACTTGTGTAATCCGAGAGGGGAAGGTGAACGGAGCCGGTGTAAGCACTGTAAGTAGCCGATTGAAGTGGTGTAATTGGAAGATGAGGCACCAATGGACCACAAAGAGCTCAGCTTAAACATGGTCCCAGCCTTCTCCATTAACACGCTTAAAACTTCAATTTTACTGGTGGGAAAATTATAACTCTAGTGAAGTAAGGAATAAGTTGAGCAAGTTTATGCTTTCTTCATTCAACTTTGCCTTTGAAAATGTGCAGTGTTTACTAAACAAGCTCATGCGCACATACGACACTAATATGAGATGAATTACTCCAGCTTACTGGATTCTGTTCAAAGACAGGTGATACAGTGACTCAGTTACCACCTAAACTGCATTTGGGATGACATTGATAATGCTGGCAATGAGCAATTGTGGTGACGATAATTAACTGCAGTGTAATACGTTGGATGTTTAATTCTCGGTTTTGATGGAGGGTTTGCTTTGAGTCTTGGCTATTGTACCTTTGCCTGATAGGCTGGCCTATGGGCGATGACAGTAGCCCCTACTCGAATCCACTCTTAGACGACAGCTACCCTTATTTCCACTGCTAAGT